AATTAACAATTTTGATTTTTTACCGTTCAAGACCAGTTTTTTCGAAAATTCTCAAAATTTAGACCTTAGCGAAGGTTCTGTTACATCCCGAGCAGAAGGCGAGTTTGATAGGTTAGGTTAAAGAATTTTGGAGGAATGGTAGGCTGATTATGGTCAAGTTGGTAAAGCTTGACCTTTATTTTTAAGTAGGATCGTTTGTACTTGTCAAAACTACGGGTTTTGAGTTACAACAACAATAAATATTCCCTTTTTAACAATTTATTTAAATATTCAAGAGTATGTTTACAAAATTATACAATGTTACTTACTTTTAGTTTACAGATTAGTCGTAGATTCAAAATTGAAGCGCTGGTCGATATAAGTTTGGTTTTCAAGATGTTGTTTCAATTGAATGAAACTGAGAAAGTTTGTTATGTTACACTTATGTAACTTTCACAACTTTAGGGTTTTTGCGTTTGTTTCAAGAGTTAGTACCGTTTCTAAGTGTTACTTATCGTCACTTGCACCTAATTATGGAAAGAAACTTGTTTCTAAGTGTGAGAAAAGCAACTTGCACAATAATTGAGTACAATTCGGTCTGCAATTGCCAATTAAAGAAAGAATTGGTGAAAAACTACAATTAATGAAACTTGACACGCAAAATACGACAGTTAATACATTAAAATTATTGATTCTAAGTGTCAAATTGCTTTTCTTGCACCTTTTACGGAAAGAAACTTGTTTCTAAGTGAATAACAAAATTGACTTGCACAATAACCGAGTACAACTCGAACTGCAGTTGCCGATTAAAGAAAGAATACAATAAATAATGAAAAACTGAAGGGTCGCTCTACAATGACTACTGGTCTTATAAACCGCACCGGAACTTTTGACAATTTGTGTTAAAAAGCTTTGCCTTATATACTATAAAATTATTAAAAAGTGGGAGAGTTTGTAGACAATTATGGGGGTAAAAGGTGTCAATTCTTTAGAATAATACTTATTCATTATAATTCTATTTATAATTGAGAAAAGAAGAAAGAATGCGATTTCGACAAATGATCTAAATATCTACCTCAATTATGGAAAAAGTGAAGCTAGAGTTACAAGAAGTGATTCACAGAACTCGGGTTGCGTAATGAGGTCATAGCGGCTGAGTGCGAGCTTGCGTGAGTCACTCCTTGACTCAACGCATTGTTTCTTATTTTTGTCAATTTCTATCTCTGGTTTTGTTTTTTAATCATTATTCTAATATGTAGGACGAAGTATAGAATTTCAGTTATAACTTCTATCTCAATTTCGGAATATTAAATGCTTTTATCGTGTTTATTATATGTTATAAAAATAGTTACATCGCAGTTACATAAACAGTTTCTTAAAAATGTACCTGGGATGTAACAGTCCTCCCTCCTTACTTTTTTCATTGTCTCGATGAAATTCTATTCTTATCGTTTAAATACCCATGTCGCGACTATAAAATTCTGAAATTGAGGAATGGTAGGCTGATTATGGTCAAGTTGGTAAAGCTTGACCTTTATTTTTAAGTAGGATCGTTTGTGCTTGTCAAAACTACGGGTTTTGAGTTACAACAACAATAAATATTCCCTTTTTAACAATTTATTTAAATATTCAAGAGTATGTTTACAAAATTATACAATGTTACTTACTTTTAGTTTACAGATTAGTCGTAGATTCAAAATTGAAGCGCTGGTCGATATAAGTTTGGTTTTCAAGATGTTGTTTCAATTGAATGAAACTGAGAAAGTTTGTTATGTTACACTTATGTAACTTTCACAACTTTAGGGTTTTTGCGTTTGTTTCAAGAGTTAGTACCGTTTCTAAGTGTTACTTATCGTCACTTGCACCTAATTATGGAAAGAAACTTGTTTCTAAGTGTGAGAAAAGCAACTTGCACAATAATTGAGTACAATTCGGTCTGCAATTGCCAATTAAAGAAAGAATTGGTGAAAAACTACAATTAATGAAACTTGACACGCAAAATACGACAGTTAATACATTAAAATTATTGATTCTAAGTGTCAAATTGCTTTTCTTGCACCTTTTACGGAAAGAAACTTGTTTCTAAGTGAATAACAAAATTGACTTGCACAATAACCGAGTACAACTCGAACTGCAGTTGCCGATTAAAGAAAGAATACAATAAATAATGAAAAACTGAAGGGTCGCTCTACAATGACTACTGGTCTTATAAACCGCACCGGAACTTTTGACAATTTGTGTTAAAAAGCTTTGCCTTATATACTATAAAATTATTAAAAAGTGGGAGAGTTTGTAGACAATTATGGGGGTAAAAGGTGTCAATTCTTTAGAATAATACTTATTCATTATAATTCTATTTATAATTGAGAAAAGAAGAAAGAATGCGATTTCGACAAATGATCTAAATATCTACCTCAATTATGGAAAAAGTGAAGCTAGAGTTACAAGAAGTGATTCACAGAACTCGGGTTGCGTAATGAGGTCATAGCGGCTGAGTGCGAGCTTGCGTGAGTCACTCCTTGACTCAACGCATTGTTTCTTATTTTTGTCAATTTCTATCTCTGGTTTTGTTTTTTAATCATTATTCTAATATGTAGGACGAAGTATAGAATTTCAGTTATAACTTCTATCTCAATTTCGGAATATTAAATGCTTTTATCGTGTTTATTATATGTTATAAAAATAGTTACATCGCAGTTACATAAACAGTTTCTTAAAAATGTACCTGGGATGTAACAGTTCTAACAATTTTTTTAATACTCTTTCTACCTAAATAAATAAATTGTTAATACAAAATTTTTAATTTCCAGGCGGCCATCTTTGACTTTTTTAATTTTGAAAATTAACAATTTTGATTTTTTACCGTTCAAGACCAGTTTTTTCAAAAATTCTCAAAATTTTGACTTCGCCGAAGGTTCTAACAATTTTTTTAGTATTCTTTATAACTAAATAAAAAAATTGTTAATACAAAATTTTTAATTTCCAGGCGGCCATCTTTGACTTTTTTAATTTTGAAAATTAACGATTTTGATTTTTTACCGTTCAAGACCAGTTTTTTCAAAAATTCTCAAAATTTAGACCTAAGCGAAGATTCAAACAATTTTTTTTAGTGTTCTTTATAACTAAATAAAAAAATTGTTAATACAAAATTTTTAATTTCCAGGCGGCCATCTTTGACTTTTTTAATTTTGAAAATTAACAATTTTGATTTTTTACCGTTCAAGACCAGTTTTTTCGAAAATTCTCAAAATTTTGACTTCGCCGAAGGTTCTAACAATTTTTTTAGTATTCTTTATAACTAAATAAAAAAATTGTTAATACAAAATTTTTAATTTCCAGGCGGCCATCTTTGAGTTTTTTAATTTTGAAGTTATGATATGAAACGGTGAGAAAATAACGTTTTCACCGTTCATTATAGGTTTTCAACTTTTGCGAAGGTTCTAACATTCTTTTTTGTATTCTTTATACCTATATAAAGAAATTGTTAATACAAAATTTTTAATTTCCAGGCGGCCATCTTTGACTTTTTTAATTTTGAAAATTAACAATTTTGATTTTTTACCTTTCAAGACCAGTTTTTTCGAAAATTCTCAAAATTTAGACCTTAGCGAAGGTTCTAACAATTTTTTTAATACTTTTTCTACCTAAATAAAGAAATTGTTACTACAAAATTTTTAATTTCCAGGCGGCCATCTTTGACTTTTTTAATTTTGAAGTTTTGATATGAAACGGTGAGAAAATAGCGTTTTCACCGTTCATTATAGGTTATTAGCTTTTGTGAAGGTTCAAACAATTTTTTTTGTCTTCTTCATAACTAAATAATCAAATTGTTTATACAAAGTTTTAAATTTCCAGTCGGTCATCTTTGAGTTATTTGGTTTTGAAAATTGACAAATTTCAGGCCGGCACACGGAAGCAGTCTGCGAGTAAGGGGAAAGGAGTGGCGGACATCACATTGCGGGTTTTCCTTCTTTCTATTTGTCCCTGGGCCTGCCGCACAAGCCTATATGGTGGTATGGTGGGGGCTGCTACTTGTTTCCCCTTACTCACTGTCTTCTGCGGTGTGCCGGCCTGTATTAGAGTGATCGCATGGCGCGGGCCTTTTCGTTCATTGAACGTTCCTAGCTTCAAGTACATCCGATTTTGCAATAACTGTTTAAATTGGGAGAAAAATCCTTTTGAAATTACATTACGCGTTCAAGCAGCTATTTTTAAAAGGCGACCACTGTTTGAAATTGCACAACACCGTTAAGTAAATTCTATTTGTGGTTTGGCCCTTATCAGGATTGACTTATCAGGGCCACTCTTCAGGCCCTGATGAGGGCTTGATCAGGTTCCAAGTTACTTCAGAAAAGGGATATAGAAGGTGTTTACATCGAGTGGTATAAATTTATTCTCTGCGTGCATAAACGGAAATATTCGCGCCTGCGCAAACACGTGGTCAAGGCAAAGCCTTTCACTACACAGCTGTATAAGCAAATATTTTGCGCAGACGCGAATATATGTTCGTGGAGAATATTTCCGTTTATGCGCGCAGAGAATAAATTTATACCACTCGGTGTAAACACCTTCTATATAATTTATTGTCAACACATTAAGCCACATTCAATTATTTAAAATTCATTTCACGTCAGTTTAAGCAAAAAAGAAAAAGTTCCAGTGAAAATAATTAATAATTAATTAAATAATAACAAATTAAATTTTTTGAAGCGGTTCTAATGAAACTGGGAAATATGTTTTTTTGAATCTGAAGGTATGAATATAATATTCCAATTCTAATTCTAAACAATAAAAAAATATTCAGGAAAGTTTGACGATAAACATTTATTGAAGTGGGACATTTAAATCTTTACACAATTTTCACTAAACTTTGCTAGTAAATACTCCGTCAAGCAAATCTTTAATAAATTTTTATGAAAATTTCGGTGCTGTATGGAGTATTGTCTGGTAAAGATACATAGTTGATAAAAAATATTATTCTAATGCTTTATTTTAAGGTAAATATTTGTTATTTGTTGTAGTGTATGGTGAAATTCGCGTTGTTAGAGGATGTGGATTTATCAACGATGATGAAAGTGACAATAAGGAGTGCATAAGAAGAAGTGGAACGCACGATGTAAAAGCATTTTATTGTTCTTGTACCACTGATCTTTGTAATGCAGCCTATACTACATTGCCATCAAAGAGTATTGTAGGAGCCCTTGTTTATTTATTAACAATGAAAGTGATTAATTAGCCTAATATAAATATATAAAAGCCTAATTGCTTCAATTAATAATGCTGCCGTAATTTGATGAATTGAGGACTCTCGAAAGATTTCACGCCTAGAAGACTGAGGGATAGGCCTATAAAGATATCATATTATAGCTAAAAAAAGTGGTTTTATGAAAAAAGAAAAACCTGATGCGTAAGTGATTGAAAAAAAGCTCGCATGAATTTCAAATATGAAAAATATCAGTGTTCCTGTACATCTAACAAAAAGTAATCATTTTTACAAATGTTAAAAATTTACAATACATATTCTATTGAAGAAAGAGATTTCCAAATGCAAGTATTCAGGGATTTGTAAAAAGATATAGAGTAAGACCGTTTTGTAATGGAGTCTCCATTGATTGTACTACATTACATAAGTAATTTAAAAAAGAGCGAAAGAATTTATACACGTGTGGTAAAAGAAATTAAAAGTTTTGGGAGTCAGGGTAAAAGTTATCAAAACAAAAACAAAAAATTGTCTATTTTATAAATTATTCTAAGTAAGAAAACACGATTTTTAAAAAATGTTTGTTCGGCGGCGTTACAACGTGAATGTTAATGAAATGTACAAGGAAGTACCTAGTCTTAATGCATATTATTTTCTTTAAAGCAACGTATTTTTATTCTCTCAAAGAGAATTTACAAAAGAACTTTAGGGAATTCGATTTTAGAACATTTATTTTTCGATATAAGACAGAGCACTAAGTAAAGAGGGCATTTTACTTAATATAATGTTTCCACAATGAAATAATTTCTTTTGTTTTCAAATGTAATTTAGTTTTTTATATCATCCACTTCAGCATCAAACATTTTTTGAACATTTTATTTACTTGATTCACTGTGAATTTCGAAGTATTTAACAATTAAGAAGTATCCACGTGTAAATAAGAAAATGTTCGCATTTGGAAAATAATGAAATTAAAATTTATGCGATTACGGGGTGTATCGAACTATTGGAAATGGTTTGTTCTAACCATGTCGTTTCTTGGAAGATCACAATATTATCAAGTGAGTTGAAAGTTCAAGAAATTTTTATAATGGTGTGTGGGACAAAAAAGTACTTAGGATTTTGTGTTTTTAGTTTCTTCTTCTATAATTTGATGTCTTATTGAAATAATGCTCCCAGGAAAAAGTAATCACACGGAGAAAAATGGATATTTAAGGTAAATATCTAGATGTTAAAGTTTAATATTTTTATTCTTTAACATAGGGACAGCTATCTAGATATTAAAAGTAAATATCTGGATGTTAAGCGTTAATATCTAGCATGTGATTTGAATATCTAGATATTAAAATTTAATATTTTTGATGTTAAGAGTTAATATATTTTTTCAATATCCAGTTTTCTCCGTGCACTTTGACGATTCTATTTAGTTATTTGTATCATTAAAGTATGCCGTGTATACTTAAATATTTTTTTTTATATGCAACTCTTTTGTTTGCCTGCGGTATCAGAAAATATATTTTCACCTATATCGCGCAAGCAGCAATCCGAATAAAAGAAAAAAATATTTTTCTTTATTAAGGAGGTTTATCGCTTGACGCAGCTTGTCAAAACAGGTGCCCATTGACAATTGTTTTCACAGATATGTAATTATTGCATATCGGTTTTGTATTTAAAAAATTTAGATCAATATCTGTTCATTTAATACTTTGCAGTATATGTAAATATATATGTCAAACTACTCAATTCCCATAGGACTCAATTTTAAATGTTGAAAATCAAAAAGGTTTATAACTTTTTTATAGGTACCTAGAGGTGTCAAAAATTTAACTACATCTTTATATTAACTTTATCTAGCTGCACATCAAGTTTTATCACATCTGTTCATTAATTCAATTATCGATAGAACCTCCTTAATCTTTTACGTTACAATGGTAACCGCTGCCTGCTCTCAGAAATGTGAACCTACACTTACTAATCGTGTAATACTTATTTTGATATCCTTCTAATATGAGACTACTTTTTTCTGGTTGTATATTATCCACAGTGCAGAATTTAATGTATATAATAATTTTGAAATTTAACAATAACAATATAAAGAAAACAACGAGAACTTGTTTATACTTCTAAAAGTACTTATTATTACTTTTCATCTGACTACTGATAATATGTATAATACATTGAAATTGTTGTTAATTACCGCAGTGCAAAATTATCAAGATAATAAATAAAGCGATATTTAATAATAAATATATTTTTCCTCTGCACTACAAAATTATATTAGTAGCATAACTAATTAATTACATTAATGGGTTGTCACATACAACTGGACAAAGAGTGAAAGCTTCTGAAGTCTAACCTACACATACAAATTCATTTGGGAAAGATAAAAAAATCTTGTTAGAGGTGGTAAAATGACAATGAAGTAATGGCACCAAAAAGATGTCATATTTTAAAAATGTTGCTAAACGTATAATAAAATATTTAACACAGTCTAACGAAAAAATGTTAAAAAATTTCATTAACTATTGATAAATTTGTCTAATATACAGTAGAACCTCGGTTATCCGAACTTTTTCGCCATCTTATACCCTAAATTAGTCCGAATTAGTTCGGATAATTGAGGTTTCACTGTTCCAGTAAAAAAAATTCGATACACGGACCGCGGAGTTCGTATACGAGCTTGGTAGCTCGTATGAGAAATATGAGAAATCTCTCATACGAGCCTTTTCCGTAATGAGAAGTGTATAGATGCTTGTATACGAGGTGACTTTTAAAGCATTTTGATTAATGTAACACTATTTTAAAGTAAATGTAGATAATAGAAATGAATTATCTCATCTAAAACAAAGCTAAATTCATAAGAATAATGAAGTTTTAAGAAAAAAAGGATAATTTTGTTTAAAAAATTTATTCACACTGAAAAAAGGTTAGAATTTGATAATTCCTTGTTACTCTTACTTACCGACATTAGATATTTCTCGGATGCAGTAAGCACGATTTTGTATTAGCGGTAGAATAAATAAGGTTTTCTTCATTACTAATTAATAATATATTATTATTTATTTATTATATAAATGTTCTTATATAAAATAATTAAATTTAATACAAAATCGTGCTTACCGCATCCGAGAAATATCTAATGTCGGTAAGTAAGAGTAACAAGGAATTATCAAATTCTAACCTTTTTTCAGTGCACGGAGAAAAATCTGCTGCTAATATTACTCGAAAGAGCACATTACTTAAATTGCTTAACGTTTCTCTTATATTTTTAGCATGGATTCATATACTTATTGTAAAAATACTTTCAATGCAATAAGCATAAGAGACAGTAGCTAATTTTGCACGAAATCTTTATTATAAATACAAAGAGAACGTGCTATAAAAGTATTAGATTCTTCTTATAAGAATCGCTCGAACTCCGACTGATTTTCAGGCGGACTTTATACAACACAATCTTACCTGTGTATACGCACATATAACTCACACACACATACCCGTGTAGAAATTTCGCTGGGGCCCTGATCAGGGCCGGATAGGGCCGACCTATTAGGGAATGAAACGCCGCGCCCGATGTGGCCCTGATCAGGAAATCCACATTTTCTTGTCGCCCCGATCTGGCCCTGATCGGGCGCGGCGTTTCATTCCTTACTATGGCCCTAGTAGGGCAATTTCTACACGGGTATTTCTCTGGACAGTTTTGTACGGAAGCGCTCATGCGCAAACCCTAGCAAGTATGCTTGCCTACCGCTCTGAGCATCTCGAAGCAGCTCGGCATGTGTGCATATAGGCACACCTGCACGTATGCTTTGAATGTTTTGATTCTCATCATTTTTCATAAATTAATAAAAACTAAGTACCTTATTTAATTAAACTGTTAACAATAATTATAAATATTGCTTAAAGTAATAAATAAAATATATTTTATTGAAAAGCGATTAATTTAATTTATTTCACTGATTTTTTTTCAAAAAAATTTACATAACCACAATATAATTTAATATTTACTTTATATGTTAAAAGCAAGGACTTTATTTTGTTTTAAGATAATTCTATAACATTTTTGTTCAAAGTTTATAATATAATTATAATGAAATTTAAAAAATTTAATTTGTTTTGTTATGAAAATATTTATTATCAAAAAAAATTATAATACTATAACATGCGACACAATTTTAGATAGAGTTTGCGAAGGAAAAAATAAAACTAGAATACAAAGAGGAAAAACACTGCATTTTTGTAATTGACAATAAAGTGAAAAAAGCTATGATGGATGGATTTTACTTCAAAGGAGAAAAATTAATGTATAAAAAAATGCAGAAACTGTTTCATTGGAATTTGACGAAAATTATATTTATTTAGAACCAAGTATAGAAGAGTATTGTGTTATTGCTTCGAAAGGTAAAAAAAAGGTTTTTAACATTCCCGTGTGGAAATTGCCAAGGTTTGCCAATATTGATTATTGGGTCTATAATGGTCCTAGCTTGGAATGTACCTTAACCTGGCCCTAGCTTGGTGATAGCTAGAACTTCTTGTTAGATTATAAGTTATAAATATATTTGAAAATATGTATCAGTAATTGTTTATGTGTAATTTGAAGTAATATTTAAACATCTCATAGCAAGATTGAGACAATATTGAACTGAAATGTTTACTTTTAACTTTTCATTTGTAAAATTTTGACAGATTATCAGTAGAATTCTACTAATTGCTATTATCGGAATTGAGTTACTGATAATTAGTAGAAAGTTACTGATTCGATTAGTAAAATATAAGTTACTGATTCAATCTGTTGTATAAAAATATGACATAGTCAAATTTACTAATTTATCAGTTGAATTTAAAGGTTATGTTGATTTCTCTTTGGCCACCAGTATATATTTACAGCATATCCTTAGTTCCGAAGCTTATGAAAGTTAAAATAAATCTTTAAATGTCTTCAGTTTTTCAATGTTGGGCGCATAAGTTGACTAAACATTGCATGAATGTTTACAATTTTCTTTAATTTTTTAAGTTTTTCAAAACTTTTTAAAATTGTCTTTAAACTTCCTCCTTTAAAGAAAAAATTCATTTAAATTAAAAAAAATTTTTACTTCATGCAACGTTCAATTAACTTTTGCGCCCAACATTGAAAAACTGCTGACATTAAAGATTTATTTAAAGTTTCATAAGCTTTGATTTAAGCTTCAGTTAATTAACTCAATTAAAATTTTCATTACAATATATTTTTCAAGTTAAATTTTTAAAACCGTTCACGGATTTGTTAACTTCTGTTAAAATCATATTTTGTTGAATGAAACTGAAGTTTCCACCGTTTATGTCGACGAAATGAGATAAAAACTTCAATTTTTAAATAACAATTGACTTTCCCTCCCCGATTGGATTAAAAATCTATGCAGGATGTAATGAAAAGAACAATTAAGTTCTTTTTATCAGAAATTATTTGCATCTTGATCTTTAAAAAAATTCTTTTCTCATTTTGCGTCAACGAAAATGTTACTGACTTTAGTTTTATTATTTTGAGGCATTTATAATGGAATAGTTCATATGACTTATGATGACAAGAATAACCTGAAGTATCATGCAACGCATCGTACCGAGCGAGCGTGGTTAAGTGGTTTGGTTATCGGTTTACGAATGTTAGGGTCGTGCGTTCAACTCCCAACGTGTGGGGATTTTTTCTCTGTTAGTATATAGGAATTAAGTATTATAAATTACATGATAACAAAAGTAGGTAAAAAAAGATGAAATAATGAATCTCAATAATAATAAATAAGAATAAATAATTTTTTTAAATAGTTAATTAAACTGTTCCTTTTATTGGGCCTAACTAGATTCTCTAGGTAGAACCAGGCTACACTGCAAAAATAGGTGTCTTTTTTGATATCTTAAAATAAGATGTAAGATGGAAAAATGGTATCTTACATCTTAAAATAAGATGTTTTCTAAAGCATCTTACTAATATTTAAGATGCTTTATACGTTTTAGCAGTGATGAAGAAATTTCTTCCATCTTAGAAAAGTAAGATACTTTTGTAAGTTCTTTAAAGTATCTTAAATTAAGATGTTTCTGTTGCAATAAGATGTTTAGCGATAAGTTACTTGAGAATCGTAAGATGCGCCATAAGTGTAAGTTATTGAAAACTAAGATACATAAAGTGTTTTCCATAAGAGACCATAGTTAACCTCAAAACTTTTTGCCCCAAAAATACCATAGAAAATGTGTACGAAGATACTTTTAACATCTTAAATTAAGATGTTTCAAGTAACTAAAAAGTGTCTACCAAAACATCTTAGAAATGACTACCAAAACATCTTAAATTAAGATACTTCTTTTTGCAGTGTAGAAGAGCGTGACGTTTCAACCTAGGGCCTACAAGGATAAACAAGCTAGGACCAAGTTAATAAAGGGGAAATCTAGGTAGAACCAATAAAGGGCCATTATAAAATTTCCACACGGGTAGGAAAATTTTTTTTTCCTTTTAGCACTTCTTAAAGGTGAAGGTTCTACATTCTCTGTAATTTTGCTCCTTTGAAGTAAAATCCATCCATCATAGCTTTTTTCACTCTATTGTCAATTATAAAAATGCATTCCATCTGAAATTGTGTCGCATGTTAAGTCCAACGCACAATAGGTTCGCGAACGAGACGCATGAGATAGACAAGGAAACAAATATATCTCTGTCCTTTTCTAACTCATGCTTTGCGTTCGCGAACGACTTTCGCGAACTTATTGTGCTTAGGCCTTTATAGTATTATAATTTTTTTTTGATAATAAATATTTACATAACAAATAAAATTAAATTTTTTAAATTTTATTATAATTATATATTATATACTTTAAACAAAAATGTTATAGAATTATCTTAAAACAAAATAAAGTTCTTGCTTTTAACATAAAGTAAATATTAAATTATATTGAGGTTATGTAAATTTTTTTGAAAAAAATCAGTGAAATAAATTAAATTAGGCGCTTTTCAATAAAATGTATTTTATTTATTACTTTAAGCAATATTTATAATTATTGTTAACAGTTTAATTAAATAAGGCACTTAGTTTTTATTAATTTATGAAAAATGATGAGAATCAAAACATTCAAAGCATACGTGCAGGTGTGCCTACATGCACACATGCCGAGCTGCTTCGAGATGCTCAGAGCCAAGAAGACTATTCTTGCTCAGAGCGGTAGGCAAGCACACTTGCTAGGGTTTGCGCATGAGCGCTTCCGTAGTTTTGTCGTCCTGTAAAACA